CCACTGAAAGATGAGTGGATAAAGAAGATGTGGCACATATATACCATGGAATATTACTCAGCCACAAAAAGGAACAAAACTGAGTTATTTGTAATGAGGTGGATGGACCTAGAGTCTGTTATACAGAGCAAAATAAGTCAGAAAATAGAAAAACAAATACCAGATGCTAACGCACATATATGGAATATAAAAAAAATGGTACTGATGAACCTAGTGGCAAAGCAGGAATAAAGATGCAAAAGTAGAGAAGAGACTTGAGGACACAGAGGGGGAAGGGGAAGGTGGGATGAAGTGAGAGAGTAGCATTGACATACACACTCCCAAATGTAAAATAGATAGCTAGTGCGAAGCTGCTGCGTAGCACAGGGAGCAGTTCAATGCTTTGTGACCACCTAGAGTGATGGGATAGGGAGGGTGGGAGGGAGGCTCAAGAGGAAGGGGATATGGGGATATATGTATATGTATAGCTGATTCACTTTGTTATACAGCAGCAACTAACACAACATTGTAAATCAGTTATACTCCAATAAAGATATAAAAAGAAAAAAAACTTTGCCCTTTGAGAAATGAGATAACAGAGCATGGAACAGTCTGTCCATACCAGACCATGAGTGAGGAAAACAGGTTAATCTAGAAGTTTTTGTAGCATGACTAGGAGTAGTTTATCTGTAATTTAGATTAATGCTGCTGCTTTTCTTGATTCACTGTACAATGTGGGAAAGCCTCAACAGAATGGTCTGAGCATTTGAGATTCAACCTTCCATTCCTCAGAATTTCAAAATCCCAGGAGAAACAGGTGTTGAGGAGGGGGATGGAGGGACTCGAGTTAAATGCTCCTTTTCAGTTTTGGTTATAGACTTAAAGCTGATTTTGAGTCATGGTTGCTAGAATTTCTAAGCTTTGTTCAAGTACCATGAATGGACTAATAATAAACATTTTAGATTTAACAAATCTATTTTAAAGCATGTGGAAAAGTGGTAAATTTTTGACCTTTACAAAAATATATGCTTTTATTTGCAGCCTGAGTTCTACCAAGTATGCCACACCAAAAAGGATTATGAAGAAATTGGACCTAGCATTTGTCGTCACAATCCAGTGTTTGGAGTCATGTCGTAAAATTGGCTTCATAGTTATTGGGGTTAGGGAGGTGGGGAAGAAATAATCTTTCTGATTACCTGTTTTGTCTGGATGGCTGGTTTTGAGGTTGTAAACCTGACTTGAAATAATAAGACCAAACATAATTATACAGGAATATTTTAATAAGTATATCAACATGCGAATGTAGAGGAGAGCCAAAATGATTAAGTGTTTTTCTTTAGATTGAATATTTGAATCTTAACGTGTAACAAAAAGAAGTGGGTTTTAGTTCTTTCTGTGCCCTGCTATTTTGTATATTATTGAATTATCCAAGATTTGATGGGATTTATCGGTATGTAGATAGCTCTATAATGCTTGAATTGTACACTCTGAAGTGTGCAATGCAAGAGCTTGTTTATATTTCATACTTTTTATACTTTGAGGAAAAAAAGTCAAAGAAAAACTAGTATTTGAGGGAAAAAAATGACCAAGTAAAGGATAAATACAAAAAATAGCCTGTGAGACTTGGCATACACACACACTCATGGGATTCCAGTTATTAGGAAGTGCTTCCGTACCCTATGCCCACCAGTGGTTTTCTTTGCAAGTGCTTTTGGAACTAAGAAGCTAGTATCTTGGATTAACTGATGCCTGCTAGTGCTTTCTGATTACTTGCATTCTGTTTCTCGCTTTAAAGGAAAAGTAAAGACAAGACTGTTGGACCAGTATTGCAGTTCTGCAGTGTCATTTCTTATTAAAAAATGAATAATTTGATTACCCAAATTGGTATATTTAAAGCCTAACACCATTCTAATAAAGGCACAAATTTCTTTTTAATACTTGTTTCAAGCTCTTTTAATCTCTTTATAAGTTAACTAATAAATCTATTTTCTTCAGACCTCTGCAGTAGTTCTTGAAAAATCACAACAGTTGGTTAGCAAGCTGACTTTTTTATGTGCTCTAAACAAATAATTGTGAACTTTTAATATGTTGAGTGCTTTCATTTTGATAACTGGATCTCCATTTGATATTTTCATTTGTATAACTCATTTGCAGTCTGAAAGTTTTTTTAGTGCCAGTCCCTGACATATCATGGAAAGTTAATTTTCATTGCATTTTAAAATATCTGGATCATGAAGAACAAGTGATGAAAATAAATTAAAACTGAATTACCTTTTCTGTTTTTTTTTAGAAGCAGTGTCATTCTACTTTGTGTTTATATATTTACATACTTTTTTATTTCTGTTGAGATAGGATTCATTGAAATCTCTATAATGTAATGGTAGAAAATTTCTTATGAACTTGAAATTTTATGTTATTTATAGAAGACTAAAATGGGAGATGTTTTATAGGATTTTAGAACTTAAGCAGTAATACCAGTGAACACTTGAACTTCATTATCCGTGAAAATAACACACAGGGTTAATATATATACCTCTGTCCAAAAGTTGAACAATTTAATTGTTTTTGTTGTTTGTTTTTAATATAAAGATAGAATTGGGGAGTAAACATTAGTTTTTATTTAGAGTGAATCTGGACATTTAAAATTATATTAATCATTTATGTGACTCAACCCTTTGAGTGGGGGAGTCAAGAACATACTGTGTGTCTTGTAGTGGTGATAGTATCAGGGTCACAGGTCGTCTTTTACTTGAAAAAGTATTTCATGAATGTTGTAAAAAAAAAAAAAAAAACTGTTCAAACAGTACCAAAGAGTACATAGTGAAAGTAGATTTCTTTCCTACACTAGCCTGTCTCATTTTCTCATCATTACACTGTTAGAATGTCTTACGTGTCCTTGTAATTTTCTGTGCATATAGAAATGACTATAGCTCCCTTATTTAACACAAATAGGAGCTTACTATATATGCTGTTTTGCACTTTGTTTTTCCAAAGATCTTTTTTTTTTTCTTTTTGCGGTACGCGGGCCTCTCACTGTTGGGGCCTCTCTCGTTGCGGAGCACAGGCTCTGGACGTGCAGGCTCAGCGGTCATGGCTCACGGGCCTAGCCGCTCCGCGGCGTGTGGGATCTTCCCGGACTGGGGCACGAACCCGTGTCCCCTGCATCGGCAGTCGGACTCTTAACCACTGCGCCACCAGGGAAGCCCTCAAAGATCTTTTGATACAGAACTAAATTGATAAGCATTGAAGAATTCATCCTCCTGGCCCAACAAAGTATTAGTATTGTCATAAACGTCTTTTCCATCTAGGATGGTTGAATAGTAAATAAGCAAGCTTGAAAGACATGTTTACAAAGCTGCAGATTACAGTCTCATGCATACTTTAATAAAGATGTTCTTAACTATTTGATATGCAAATGTGAAGGTCAGAAATTTTGCTTTAAGCTTAAACTTATTTGGGGAAACAAGAAGATTCTAAACTTTTCCTGTATGTTTCCTGATGTATAATATGATAGAAACAGTGCTATTTATTTCTTTACATCTCTCCTGTCATTATATATCATTTCCTTTATATATAGCACCTTTGGTTATATATGTGTAGAGGTTGGCCAAGTGAATTAAAATCTGTAACACCGATTTGATGTCAGACTGCATGAGCGTGCTACATTGGAAGAACACTAGACTGAGGGCCTGAGGTGGAAATTTTTATTCTGGTTCTACAAATTGATAATACAATTCCTCTAGCTTTTTTTGTTGTTATTGTTAAAACATGAAAAATATATTTGTATAATCATGGACATATTGTTTGAACTTTCTGGACCTTAATTCAATTTATAATATAAACGTAGTAGTGTTATCTGGATTTAACAGTGCAGTTTTTATGAGTTGTGAGAATATAACCTAGCCTTTTCAATTAATTCATGTGTGGTAGTAAAGATGTCATCGAAGGTCTCCTTTCTAATAGGCAGGGCTTTGATCAATTGGGAAATATTAATGGACAGAAGTAAAATAGATGGTGGCTATCTAACCTGATGCCTACTCTTTAGTGAGTGCAGCTTCACCCTTAAACATTAGTAAATGGTGTAGACTGCCAGTTATCGCCCTCTTCATTCGGGTCCCTCAATACAATTCTTTGGTTTGTTTTCAAAGCTACTTTAACAGATGGAAATAAATTGTTCCTGCAGTTTCTAGAAATATCTTCAGAAATAATAAAATGAACTATAGGGATAATAGGCTATTATGTTCTTTATTCTTTCCTTAATTTCTAGAGAAGTCCTAGAGAATATATCTATATAAATAGAAACTTTATTCTTTCAGATAACCCTAAAGGCGGTACCAGAGTACTTGTAACAATATTGAGGAAATTATTTGTCATGTAAAAAGCTTATTTGTATCATTGTAGAGAGTGCTGTTGTTTCTTTAAATGCTGGACTGATCTGTCAGTAATAAAGTCCAGTGTATTCTGATTTTCTTGCCAGCCCAGCTCTGACTCCTGTGACCCTGTACTCCCTGTTGTTTTGTAATTCATCATCAATAGACGGGTACCTTGGATAGCCCTATGCAGTCTCATCTTTTAACTGTTAGCACCCAGAATCCCAGCTTAGGTTAAATGGGCACTAAATATATTAGCTAACATACTTACAAACCAAAATATGTGCAAACTCTAGGGGTGAAACATTCTCCCATTCATATTGGAATCCTGTGTTTTAGAACATATTTCTGTGTAATACCACTTAGTCTGTATAGTTGACCAAGGACAGAGTTGTTAGCGAGAAATTATAAAGAACTTTCACAGCAAGTTCTGAAAATAAGTACTTTATTTTTGTAATTAGGTCCATACCACACCTAAATTGACCTTAAGCAAGAATGTCTAGATTCTGCTTGTGAGTATGGAAAGTTTTTTTTTTTTTTTTTTTTTTTTTGTGGTACGCGGGCCTCTCACTGTTGTGGCCTCTCCCGTTGCGGAGCACAGGCTCCATAAGCGCAGGCTCAGCGGCCATGGCTCACGAGCCCAGCCGCTCCGCGGCACGTGGGATCCTCCCGGACCGGGCACGAACGCGCGTCCCCTGCATCGGCAGGCGGACTCTCAACCACTGCGCCACCAGGGAAGCCCTGTGAGTATGGAAAGTTTTTAGACTTCAGTGGAAAAGGATTTCTGTTACTCATTGTTAATAACTCCTTAATACTGTAACATGTTCATGCCTCTTCCACATAATTTGTTTTTCAGCATACCGGAACTTTCGTTATAACCTGCTTGGTCCTGATAAAATCTTAACAAAAACAAGTTAAAATATGTGGTTGTCTTTGGTATTCTCCATGCTATAACCCAGTTTAATTGATGCATTTGGGACCTGGAGTTGAAATAACACCTACTGGAATTCAGAATTGCATTAACATTGCTCCAGTGGTCACAGGAACAGAAAAAAAAAGAAAAATAGAATGAATGATTTAGAAAAAAATGGCAACTTGGGGGGAAAAAAACCCTGAAAGAAGAAAATAAGGAAATTAAGAATTAAGAAGAAGAAAGGTATTTTTCTGTCATTTTGATTTAGCAAATAATTATTCTTTACTGTTTTCCAGTGTTTCTTCACTTTTGGTGACTTTTATATATTACATTAAAACTGAGATGCTGAGTCAAAATAGTTTCAGTTTTATTCAAACACTACAACTCATTTATACTACCTATATAGTGCATCAAGTCTGGGGCTTCTAATCCCAGGGGCGTTTCTTGACTACATACTATGGTTCAAGCACTGCATGAAGATGAATAAAACATTATGTCCTGAGCTTAGACGCTAATGCATTAGTAAGGATGCTCTCAGAGGAATGAGGAATATTTTGCCCAGAGTTTTAGGAGACATCATCCTAGCTTAGAATTTCTTTTCATAAAGATGGTGGTGGTGGTAGTACTGGTTTTTAGGAAAAAATAACTCAGCTAGGTAAAGGTGAAAGTTATAAAGTGTGGCTACGGTTTAAAATTATTATTTTGTGTGCGCCTGAAATTCTTTATTTTTGATGTTACCCAATAATAGTCAAAGTAATTGCACAGTAGGGTCTGTCTTATTCATTTGATATTTTTAGTGCCTTACATATTTACTGGCACATTGTAGTGGTTAGGTAAATGTGTTCGATAGATGAGTGAATAAAATCCATTTTTCACTTTGAAATTAAAACTTTGAATTACTTGAGTATACAACTTTTTTCCTTTAAAATTATCTATATCATAAAACTAAGGCTAAATTTTTGCCTTAAAAATAAAACAGTGACATTTTACATAAAACAGTGGGGAATTATTTAAGTGATCGTAAATTTTCTGAAGTAGGTCTTCAATAATTCCTTAACTAGGTCTTTGATCATTTTGAAATCTCCATGGTGTAAATAAATGGCCAGTGTCTCTAAATCATAGCATTGTACAAGGCTAATTGAAATGCCCTGAAATGTTTTGTAACATTCAATGTCAACGGTAGAAACACTACTGATTCCTAGCTCTGCTTTTTATTGATCAATTTTGATTCTTTTGTCCAAATCCCATTTTAAACCAATTAATTTAGAGGTGATGACTTCAAAATTGCCTCCATTTTCAATGAATAAGAGTCAGTGTTGTGGTAGATTGTTAATCTCTTGGAGGTTTATTAGAAAGTTGATACTGGAATTAGAACCATACATTCTTTCTCTTATTGGACGTACATGGTATCTTTCCCAAGCAAATGCTTAAGAATCCACTGTTTAGAGGGTTGGGCAATAAGAAAATCTGAGACTTGTGTTTTGGTGCCATAATGCTTAGCTGGGATGTCATGTACGGTCATGAGATGATGGAAGTACTTCACAGGGCAGTTTCTACTGAAATACTACTGGTCTTTCCTGAGACCTTGAAAGAAGGATAAGATTTTGGTAGATGGAGAATAGGTGGGGAAGATGTTTTGGTTATGGAAGCAACGGCCTGTGTGACAGTTAGTAGTTGGGGAGGGTCAGCATGTTGTGAATGTGGACAGGTTTGAAGAGTGGGGCGTAAGATGGGAAGATGTTTGCCACCTTCAGACATTGAGAGCCTTGAAAATTGATGCCTTTAAGGTTGAGATCACACACGCACACAATTGACATCAGTAACACTGTGGAATTTTCAGGGTTTGGTCTAGTTCAGCTCACATTTTACAGATGAGGGAACACACTATGTGAGGCCGCTTAAGTACTTAGTGGCTGAACAGGACTCGTTGGTGATGATTGTTTTTATGTTTTGTTTATACTGAACAGCATATGGTTTATTAATTTTTGTTTTTCAGAATTTACTTGGCAGCTTGCTTAGCCTCTCAGACCCATCCTGTTGGGAGAGCTTATACCAGCATTATTGTGCTAGATGCCGCTGACGAGAGGGAGGTATCAAATGACCTAAATATGTGTCTACCAAGTTATGCATGATGCCCATAGTTACCAGGCTGAAGGGCTGAAGGAATAGCAAGAGCCTAACACTCAGCAAGTCTATTCGAGGCTGAATTGGACGTTATGAGGCAATGATGTTTAAAAAGAAAGAAAGTAAAGGACACTTCATACACAGAACAACCACTGGAACCTTAAACTGTCCTGATCTAGGCCAAGTGGCATATTTGAGCTCGTACACATTTTGGCCATGTGCCTCTAAATTCGTGCTAAATTTATGTACCATATTTCCGCTCTCACTGATGCTGAAATTTAAATTTGTCAGTGATGTAACTGGATTTTTGCGAATTAGAAAGTACCTCAACGGGTTTTAAAAACTGGGAAAGCGTTTTTAGGCTACAAGTAAAAGTGAAGTTTGTGATATTGTTATGAAATACAATTCTTGGCATGTGGGAAGTCCTCAAATACTTCTTGAAGAATGATCTGGATCAAAAAGGACTTGTGGAAATGGTATTTTTGATCCTGCCACTGTTTTGATTCAGTAATTAAAAAGAATACTTATGGTGCAGGCCGGGTGATGTCTGTTTTAAAAATAGGTCACATATGTGGCACAAATTAAAATTCTATTTACACATCCATTTATAGCTGTCTTTAACTACATCCCTTGCAAGATAGGCCATTGAAAAAGTGGTTCAACCCTTAATATGTATGTATATTTTAATAACTTCAAGATCAAGGATCTGCTAATGAGCTCACATTTGGATTACATTTGAGTTGTATGTCTGAATTCACCTGCCACTGATACATCTCAAAAGAAGTACGTTTATTTGATCTGAGCAGTACTGTCTTTTCCTATTTCTCTTTCTTCACCTTTATAAAATGGAAGTTGCAACTCTGGACATTATTCCTTAGGGCACTGGAAGGATGCATTAAATGATTTTAAGTACTCTTCCCCCCCATCCCCCCACCCCCACAAGGAGAAAGATACGGCTTCTTAAACCCCAAGTAGAAGACTGTGTTCAATCGTTAGCATTTTAGTATTCTTGAAATTGAAGTAACTAACTTGCTTTTGACCTATTTCACAAAGAAGACAAATGACTTTTTCAGACACTTAACAAGAGATGGAAGGAGTGGGGTGGCTTTTGAGTTTAGTCTTTCAGTCCATCCACTAGGTGTCTCTCTTTTCTCCATTCATAAATGAATATATTTCAATTAGATTTGCTGCTATCAAGAACAATTTGGATCTGGGTTATAGGAACAACACATTTCACTTTCCCATTTAAAGGATGCCATCCTCAGCAATATACCTTTGACTTCAGTAAAAACGAAATGTTCCTTAGGCTGTTTCAGTAATGCACAGTGTGATTTATTCTGCAGTATCGGTTTGTTAACATTCTCTATGCTAAATACTGTTCAAGATGCAGGAGCATTATAGCAAAACAGAAATGGTGTTCTTTTCTGAGACTTTAAGGGTAGGCTTTGTACAGTTTCTCTTTAGTGATGTAGATCATTGGAAAGATGCCAAGTTAATTGCAAAGTCAACAAAAATAAGATCAGTGTCATCTCAAGTTACAAAGACATGATTTGATAATTGTCTTTAATTCATGCAGATTTGCGACACCCATCAACTTAAGTTCCACATTTGTCTAAGGTTTATAAAGGGTAAATGAAGGTTTCTTACCCAGAACAAAGTTCAGAACTACATGCATTTTGCAACATGTGATCAAGAGCTCCTTGAATGGTGTGTTTTACATATCAAACTGAACCTTAGCTGACAGCGTGGATTGGTTTGGCCAGTTGCTCTTTGTATTTTAGCATAGAATTAACCATAGGTGTCCTGATCCTGAGATACTTGAGCTTTGGCTTCGGAGAGGATTGTGTTTTCGGTTTTATATTCCAGAGTATATTTATTCAGGATATATATACCCTCTTCTGTTCTATAATTTAATTTGGTTATTTCCCACAGAAAATCTCAATTTTTTTTTTTTTTTTTTTTCTGTACGCGGGCCTCTCACTGTTGTGGTCTCTCCCGCTGCGGAGCACAGGCTCCGGACGCGCAGGCTCAGTGGCCATGGCTCACGGGCCCAGCCGCTCCGCGGCATGTGGGATCTTCCTGGACCGGGGCACGAACCCGCGTCCCCTGCATCGGCAGGCGGACTCTCAACCACTGTGCCACCAGGGAAGCCCCGCTATTTCTTGATAATCAAATTCAGTTCAAATAATATTCTTGAGCTTCCATCATGTAGGAGGCACTGTGCTAGGACCTTGGTGGGGATACAGGGCACTCACTTCGCAGTTACAGCTTAACTTGGAGACAGCCCTGAACATTACTAATGAAATGCAGCACAGTGTGTGTTTCAGCTTGTAATGGGGGCCGAGAAAGCAAAAATTAGCTCAGACTGAGAAAATATAAATCTGCATTGCCCTTCATGAGGCACAGATAAAGCCAGCTGCAGAGTTAACAGGAAACAGTATTTCTCCCATGGACATGCTGCAGCCATAATGTGTCATAACAACTCTCTTCAAGTGACTGCTGCTTTCTTACTCACTGAGAAACTTTGTTTTCTAAATATCATAGACTATCAGAAATTTTGCTATTTGAAATTATATCAGTAAGATGAAATATCCCCCTTTTATGTAATTCACTTTGATACAAAAGTTGCCTTGGCTTGCAAATGAGGGACAGAGCTTCAAATAAGGGTTTGGGAACACAGCACTGAACATATTAACTTTTGTTTCCAAGGATACAGAACCCTAGGTCCAATTTGTTGTTCAAACCTTATGTTCAGACCCTGAACATGTACAGCGCCCTGCCTTGCTCTGAGCCTATCACAATGTTGATTTATTTAAATTTCACCCTTCCGCCCAAATTGGTAATTTCCGCATTTCCTCCATGTGCAGTACATGTGCAGGTACTTTCATAGCAATGGATATTGTCAGACTATTGACTTTGTCAGACTATTGGTTTGCTTCTGGAAGACTTAGGCTGATTGGGCTAGGACAGATGTCCACTTTGACAATTCTCAATTTAGCATTAAATCTATGTGTAATGTATTTACATAATACATATGTTGCATATATCCATGTATCCTGTTTTTTCACTTTTAATGGTTTTGTGTGTAGATAATTTTTCTTCCACAAAGTAATATCTCTTCTTGGAGGGTGGCGTCTGTGCTTAAAATTCCATCTGATTTTTTTTTTTTTTTTCAGTGTCTTGACCAGCATTGTGCATGCAGTAGATGTTCGATAAACACTTTCCACAAAGAAGCTTCACATCTTAGCTGTTTCTTTGAGACTTTCTCCAAGTTTGAAACCTAACAGACTGTGGTATCCTCTTCCTCACAATTCTACCTCTGCTTAATAAAGTGCAAGTTACCCAGGCAATGAGGCGCGGTGCAGTTGAAGCTTTTTATAGCTCCATCTGTCTGCAGTCACCTAAATGTCAGTGGATAGATGTGTTTGTCATAATGTGCAGTAAGTGCAAGTAAGCCCCCCGTTAATAGTCTCACTAGAGATAAAATAGATTGACAGGAACTCAGAGGTGATAAACTGTCAGATTGCACTCTAAGGAAATACAGCATGTCATTGGTAGCTGAAAATGTGCAGAAGTAAACGCACAATTCCTCACTCCAACCTGATTTGTTTTCAAACCTTTGCGTATTTACTTTTGTTCATCCACCACTTTGGTTGAAATAAACCATTAATTAAAAACAGCTCAGGAAAACCACTGATGACGTTAATAGATCTCAACACAGCAGCAGCAAAACAGTCTCAATTCACCGAACTGCCTTCCAGGCGGGCCTTGCCCTTTCTGTAGAGGATGGTGGAGAAGCAAAAGTCTCTGGCTCTCAGGGGCTGCTGGGGGATCGATGTCGCTGATCATCTTATGCCTGAAGTAATGCTTTTCCTTGAAACTTAGGTATGCAGGGATTCATAAAACCAGCAGAAATAGGAAGTAACAGAGAAAGCCTTTTGAGTAACCAGGAAGGATTTGGTAAAAGCCCACACGCTGCGTAATCCGTGCTCTTTCCTCATGGTTGTGCCCCTTAGTTCATGTTTGCCTGACACGCGGTCCTGAAAGCTCTCTGTTCCAGTGTTTGCTCCCTAATGAATGTCAGTATATTAGATTCTGAGCTAGTGACAAGGGACTTACCTGTGTTCCTGTCCTCACATTCCTCTGGATGTACTAAATGGTTTGATTAAGCCCGATCACTTCAGTGATGAACACTGGAACGGTTTTATTTTTCTCCACAGAACGCGCGTGAAGGAAGCCGGGGAGAGTCAGTCGCAATGTGTGTTGTTATGTTCCTCAGGATCCGCTGTTTTGTGGTCTGGTTGTGTTATTAAAATTGCAGTCTCAAGTCATTTCAAAACCCCTGTCCTTTACCTCAGCTCAGATTGGCCGGGGCTGCCCCAGCAACTTGACGCTAAGACGTCCATGCACCTTCCACGTTGCCAAAGCAGACATCCAACTGGAGGATACGATGCAGACATCTCCAAACACCAGAAAACATTCTCTTAGAGCCGGTCCCCCAGCCTGGGTGAGAGTCTGGGGACAAACTGAACACGTCCCTTACTCTTTGCGAAGGAGAGAGAGAAACCACGTTCTCGAGAAGAAAACTGAGGTGGTAACCCGCTCCCCGTCTCCAGCTGTCTTTATCCCGTCTTTGTCCCCGCCAGGCTGACAACCAGTGCTTTACAGACCACTGTCTTCTGCGGCTCCTGATGGAGTTTCCCATAATGCTGAACCAAATGATGCTGAGATGCTGAACCAAACATCTCCAGGATGCTGTTCTTCCTGGCTGGCTCTCCCTCTACACTGAGTCCCCAGTCCTGCCGTCCCCAGTATCACTCCAGGAGTGGGTTTCATTTTCAGGACCACATGTGTTGCCGGAGATGCTCTGACCTGTTGTGAGCTCATCTTCTGATATTTGGCAGGAAGAATCTACACACGTCAGCAAGGCCTGAATGCACCGTGTATGTGAAAGATAATGAACATTCCCAGTCATGATCCTAAGCCTTGGTTTTGATCATTTTTCCACAGAAAGATTCAATTCTGTTCAATAAATATTAAAAAACAGTTGAAAAAAGAAAGTGTTTAAAGGAGTATATTTTTTGCTACCTGGAAAACGTTGACAACTAGTTAAAAATATAACTACCAGTTATATATATTACTACCAGTAATATAACTACTATAATTCCCTGGCAGTCCAGTGGTTAGGACTCTCTGCTTTCACTGCTGAGGGCACAGGTTCAAACCCTGGTTGGGGAACTAAGATCCTGCAAGCTGTGCAGTGTGGCCAAATTAAAAAAAAATAATACAAAACAAAATAAAAAACTACTATCTATTGAACACCTACTCTGTGCTAGGCAGTGTTTTCGATACTTCACACTTAATCCCATGAATTGGGCATCACTAGGTCCATTTACAGAGGAGAAAAATGAAGCTGAGTACGGATGAAAGACTTGACCAAGGCAGAATCCATTTGGATACATGTAACAGAAAAATCCAACTCAAATGGATTAACTAAATAAATAAGAATGTAATCTTGTATTGAAGCAGTCTCTAGGTAGGTTACTCCAGGATTGATTAATCTGATAATCCACTGACCTCATCAGGGACCCTGTTTTCCCTATCTTTCTGCCGTGCCAGTCTCTGCACGGGAGGCTCTGTGTTTGGGCTGTCTCTTCCCATGGTTGACAGTGAATGGTTGCTTTTTCAGGTCTCCTGTCCGGACATAATCACGTCCAGCAGCAGAAGAGACTTCTCTTCCTGGATGATCTTTTTTAAGAAAACGGGCAATTTCCTACACGCCTCCCAGAAGATTTCTCCTTACGTCTCCACGGTCAGAAGTACAACATATGTCCATGCTAAATTGAGTGGATTTCAGTGTCTGACTTAGTGAGAGCAAGTGGAAGAGTGTATCTTACTGAGATAAATCGGCTGCTTGGAATGGGTGTGTGTGCACATGTTAGATTGTGGGATACACAGCTCCCCTCAGAGCAGAGCAGGGATTCATCCCAAAGCCTGGGCTTGTCTCACGCATTCCCCAAACTCACATGTGCATAAACGTTTACTGTGTGTGGCTGTTATGAAAAATGTGACTGGGACAGATCCCAATGTTTGAGAGATTTACAGTTGTGATTATATTTGGGTTAGGTAAGTATTAACATGTGTTCACTTTCTCTGAATATTGGCCAAATGGTGTGTGGAGCAACTATGGTCTTGAAGAGTGTGACGTCCTAGCAACAGGACAACTTAGCTCCTCTGACCGGTGTTTTAGTCTCTTCTTACATAGCATCCCTTTCACTCTCTCCTGACGGAGGAGTAGTTGTGGCTAATGAGTCTGGGAAAGCAGACAGATTGAAGAGGCCCTTGAATTTCAGGCCAACGGATATAGACTTTTGTTTTCTCTAAGGAATATGGAGTCATTGAAGACTTCAGCCAGAAAATGACCCCCAACTGTGATTTAGGAAGATTAATTTATCAGAGTGGATGGGAAGAATTGATTGAGAGAAAAATCCGAGGTCTTTCCCTTTGTAGGAGGTATGACTCTCAGTCCATCAAGTCTAATGTACACGAAACACCCATTTCTTTCTTTCAGGTTGAGTTTTCTGATAGGGATAATAGGAAATTCAGTCTCTATCGTTGTTTGGCACTCCTCCCTTCCCAAGGACGCTCTCAAATCTCGAAACTTAATGAGGTACCTGAGAGACTTGGGAAGGACCCCTACCCTCCACTCCATCATGGCTGCACTGACATCTGTAAAGTTGAGTGGCCTCCTGTGGTGTAGGGTATGGGAAGCTTTCCTACGTCTAGGATCCTTGGAGTCCAAGGTCCAGGTTCCCTGAAGACCACACAGCCCTCTCCTCTGAGTGGTGTTTCCTCTTCAGGGTGCTACCATCAGAAGTACTCGGGTAACTCCTCCCATCACCCTTTCCCAACCTCTGACCTCTTTTTAAATTTTATTTATTTATTTTTGGCTGCACCGGCTCTTCGTTGCTGCGCGCGGGCTTTCTCTAGTTGCGGCGAGCGGGGGCTACTCTTTGTTATGGTGCGTGGGCTTCATTGCGGTGGCTTCTCTTGTTGTGGAGCACGGGTTTTAGGTGCGTGGGCTTCAGTAGTTGTGGTACGTGGGCTCAGTAGTTGTGGCGCATGGGCTCACTTGCTCCGCAGCATGTGGGATCTTCCCGGACCAGGGCTCGAACCCGTGTCCCCTGCATTGGCAGATGGATTCTTAACCACTGCGCCCTCTGACGTCTTATTAAACTTTGCAATCAGTGGAATTTGTAGACTTCATGTGTAGAGTTTGATGTGTTTGGATAAATGGAATAGCCATATAACCACAGCCCAACCAAGATCCAGAACATTCCTCTCACTCAAGAAAGCTCCCTTTTGCCCCCTTCCTCTCAATCCTCCCCCCTACCCCAAGGCAGCCACTCTACTGAGTGCTGTCCCTATCAATTAGTGCACATGTTCTAGAATTTACTATAAATAGAATCCTTCGGCTTTCACTCAACATTGTATATATGAGACTCCTCCACACGGTTGTGTATATCAGTGTTCATTTTTGGTGTTTAGTATTACCTTTATATTGTTGCATAGTATTCCACTTCTTTTATTTTGTAAGTCTTTCCCTGTCTCTCCTCCTCTTTCCTTAAAAGCATCTCCTTTGTCCCCTTGTTGCCCTCAAAGGCATTAAGTGCGCTTTCTCCAGTAAAAGCCAGAAAGGATTTTATGAGAGGCAAGGATGCACCAGGTGTTCAGCTGTCTTCATGGAATGGAGGAGGGAAATGACAACATGAAAACACACAAATTAATCTCAGGAAGTTAGCCCACCACTTAATTCTCCAGAAGAGAGAAAGTGCAGGCCTGAGTTAGCGTGGAGTGTGCGAACAGGGTCAAGAGAGTGGGTATGAGAAAGCTGGTTCAGAGCGGCTGTCGATGGAGTTCAGTGCATCCTGAGACCCAGGCAGAGGTGGAGGAAAGACCGTGCTGGGCCTGGGTCAGGGTGAGGAGGGATGTTGGGGCCGACAGCATAAACAGGAATAGAGCAGGTTTAGGCTGGAAAGTGATGAGTTCACTTTGGTACCTGTCGATTGTGAGGGGTGTATGGAAGGGAACAATGGAAATGTCCATGAGGCAGGTGGAAACAGAGATCTCTAGGTCAGTAGCACCTTCAGAACTGAAGATGAAGATCAAGAGTTATGGACAAAGAGGTGAATGCTGAAACCTTGCAAAAGGAAAGTTAAAGGAGAGAGACAAAGGCAAGGACAGGGCTTTGGAGAATGCCACGCAGGGGGCTCGAGGAGGAAGAGGAGTCTGAGGAGGAAGGAGTGGTGGTCACGGTATTAGCATGAGAGTCGTGGAGAGTGCAGTGTCTTGGGCATCAGGAGGCAGAGGGCATTAAGGAAATTGCTGGCAGGAATGCCAAAAGCTGTAGAGTTGACCAAGACGAAGGCTGAAGAAAAGGTCATTACATTTCCCAACTGGAAGATCACTGGTGGCTTTTGAGGGATCAACCTCAGAAGAGAAATGGGAATTGCAGCAGGTTGCAAGCTGTTGTGGCGTAGGAGAGGGTCCTGAGACAGACCTAATGATTCTTTTTTTTTTTTTGTGCTACGTGGGCCTCTCACGGCTGTGGCCTCTCCCGTTGCGGAGCACAGGCTCCGGACGCGCAGGCTCAGCGGCCATGGCTCACAGGCCCAGCCGCTCCGCGGCATGTGGGATCTTCCCGGACCGGGGCACAAACCCGTGTCCCCTGCATCGGCAGGCGGACTCAACCACTGCGCCACCAGGGAAGCCCAGACCTAATGATTCTTAACAGCTTTTTTCAAGAAGTGTGCACCTAAAGGAGTGAAAAAGGGTTCCATGTAGCAGAGTGGTGGAAGGAGGGGAGAGAGGACAGGTTGGGTGGGCTTGTTTATCCCAGGAAGTGGGGAGCATGCCCAAGGGCTGGGCGAAGGAGGCACGGTGAGAGAGTCGTTTAGTGGTTTCTGATTCAAGTTCCCAGAAGAGGTAAGAGCTGGTGGGATGGAAAGTGAGAGGGGGCAGGTTAACCCTGGAAAAGTGATGGGTCAGTCCTCTTCTCGGAAAGAGAGGAGAGGATGGGTGGGACACTCCTGGCTGAGGACGGCACAGCCCCAGCTCCAGTGGCTTGTCCTCAGCATAACGTGGCTCCTTCAGAGATTTTTTGTTCTATTTACTCTGAACGTGTGAAGTTGATAAAACATCCTGCTTAGGGTTCAGGAGGTTGGATATCAGCACAACATATAGAGGAGGCCTCTCCCAACTGCCCAAGACTAGACGGTAGCGATCAGTCTCCCAAGAGTCAGTCTGTAGCCCCTCTATCGTGTTGTGGCAGAGATCGCAGCAAACCCTAGGTTAGGGACCACACCATGATGTGTTAACAAAAGACACTGGCACAAGACCTTTGATCAGATTAATCAGGGATGCAATTACCCGGCACTACCAACTGAGATTAGCATTGGCTATAGAGGTTGGCAAGATGAACCTGGGAAATGCCAGACTTTGAATTCAGGTGACCTTCTGGTTTGTATTCATTTTCAGAATTGCATCTGCAGCATAAAAGGGGCTCTCAGAAGACTGGATGGGCTTCACAATGAATGTGATGCTGTGAGTGTACAGTTCCCTCAGGCCAGAGTGCTTCTCTACTCCTCCTCTACCACCAGTTGGTGGTACAGTGAGGCAGTGATGCTGTGATAATTTTACCCGACCCCAGGATCCTGGTTGTGTTCTGGAGGGTTGAAGTTGCCAGAAATCTGGCTAGGTCTTAAAAGGGATACATATTTTTTTAAACCCTAGCAAGTGGGGACTTCCCTGGTGGTTCAGTGGTTAAGACCCCATGCTTCCACTGCAGGGGGTACAGGTTTGATCCCTGGTCAGGGAACTAATATCCCACCTGCCGAGTGATGCAGCAAAACAACAACAACAATAACAGCAACAAAAAAAACCCCAAACTAGCCAGTATGGCCACTCAACAGGCCCAAATATACACAGATTGAAATATATGTTTTTTTGTTTTTGTTTTCGTTTTTTTTTTTTTTGCGGTATGCGGGCCTCTCGCTGTTGTGGCCTCTCCCGTTGCGGAGCACAGGCTCCGGATGTGCAGGATCAGCGGCCATGGTTCACGGGCCCAGCCGCTCCGCGGCATGTGGGATCTTCCCGGACCGGGGCACGAACTCGCGTCCCCTGCGTCCGCAGGCGGACTCTCAACCACTGCGCCACCAGGGAAGCCCTGTAAGTATATTTTTGACCTTCTCGGCAGAGGCTAGTGGTCCAAGGCTGCTCCACTCATACACACTGTGGTGGCTTCCTTATCTGATAGTACAGATTTTATCATTGATGCTTCTGGAAAAAAAATGGCATTTCCCACCTCCCTTACCCACACATGTGGATCTTACAACTGCTTGTCAATTCCTTCTGTTACCGGTGCCTAACCTTAAACTACTTGTGGTGGGTGCCGCAGGCATTAACCTATGGAAGGATAAACGATGTATCTAGGAGGCCATCTTTCTGGAAGATGTCTGTACTCAAGGACACTAGTTTTTCTGAATGTTTAGACGACAGCTCCTAAAATTCTATCAGTGCCCACAGAGTGGGGAGAGCTCAGAAACCAGAGGCTGTAACAGTGTGTCTCCAGCAGCTTCCACCTCCCTCCTCCCTCCCACCGTGGTCCCGGTCGTTTTTTTGTATGTGAACTCCCTCTGCCTGGGGGTGAATGCGCCCGCATGTGGAGCTCCAGCAAGGTGTGCTCCAGGCCTCTGGGAACTTGCCTTGTGAAGGATGGTGGCAAATTAAACTGGCAACTGAAAAAAGTCAGAGCATTTCCAGGCCCTCTGCTGGGGGAGTGATTCCAGAGGGGAAGAGGCAGGGAAGACACATAGCTGGAAAATGGCCAAAGACATTGGGCGCTGGGCATCAGTCTGGCCAATGAACACCTCCTGAACGCCTATGAAGAAGCAGCTGCTCCAGATGCTACGGGCAAACACAGAGATCACAGAGACCAAACTTCGTCCTCTATCTAGTAAGTCTGAGAGCACATGGAGGGGCACAGGGACAATTCCGGGCTGGGCAGAAGGAGGAACGAAGGCTTCTGTGAGGGTGAACCGAAAATTGTAGCCACCATACAGTAAGATGGTAATGTGTGTGGACAGGGTAGGTCTTGAATGACATGAAGAGGAGAGAAACAAAATTCTGGGGCTGGAAGGGACACTTGGCAATCCCCTCAATTTAAGGGTGGGGAAACCGAAGCCCCTCTTCAGTAGGATAAAGTGGTTTGTTCAAGGTCAAGGTCACTCAGTTATTTGGTACTCAGTGACTAATAGTACTACTACTAGTAGAATAATACCATAAATAATAGTCCTAATAATACTGTATTATGAATGAGAGTGGTAATAATAGTACTAACAGTGCTACCAATAGCTGACATTATAGAGCACTTACTGTGTACCAGCCACTATTCTAAATGCTTTCGGTGTATTATCTAATCGAATGCTCACAGCTGGTTATGTTGCTTTCACCTCCATTTCACAGATGGAAAAACAGAGACAGAAGAGTCCAAGTAGCCTGCCCAAAGCCATGGAGCCAGAAAGTGTTGGAACTGAGATTCACCCTATAGGCAGTCGGGCTCCAGAGCATGTGCGCTTCATTTCTGAGCTACACAGCCCCTCAGGCCTCTGAATTCTGGTCCAGTGCCCCTTGGACTGAGCACGTAGGGTACTGAAGAGACACTGAGCAAGGGAGTGACATGACAAAAGTGATATTTAAAGTTGATTCGTGTGGCTTCAGTGGTCGAGGTGGACTAGGGAAGAAATGGAGAAGGGAGACCAAGTAAAAGATTGTCTAGATACAGGTGAAATGAACATCTGGACCACAGCAGGAATAGAGAAGATTGCATTGGACAGGAATGATCGGTTAGCCATCACTCACCCCCTAGTACAAATCAGCCTGTTGCTTATCCTCTTAGAAAATAAAACTCTGACCTGTAGAAGGAGGGATTGGAGAGAAGGAAGAAAACCAAAAAAGGGGAGAAATAGTACAGTAAAGAGAAGGGGCAAAGGGGCAAAAGTAAAAATGGAATAAATGTTGGTGGTTTCCCCCATATTTCTTACATACAGGTCCTGGTCTTTTGGGGATGGTTTAATGTACTTTGGGTAAACGCCTGTGTCAATTTGTCATTACGTGAGGGTAAGAAAGAATAGAACGAGAAAGATGCTGTCTCCCAGCGGGAGTGAGACCTTAACAAGGGAATAAACACCACGTTAGGAGCCCAGCTAGTTGTCAGGGATTGGGGATGCCCTCAGGGAAGGACTTGCTGCCCCCTTGCTGGGAGGCCTGTAGCAGACAGCCTACAGCAGTAGAGGGCCTCCCTGCCCCAGGGCTTGCCTTTGCTAGGCGACCCACACCTAGTGACCGACAGATATGTGGGTATAAAGGCTGGGACGTCTTCACCCAATGTGGACAACCCCAACAGGCCGTCTACACTGCAGAGCTCCCCATGGGGACGGCGGAGGCTGGTCTTTGGCCACATCGCAGCTCAGTTCTTCATCCTGCCTCTTTCCCTTCCCGCCTCCTGCCCACCAAACTGCAGGGTCGCTTCCCGGGGAACCCAGGGGCCATCAGGGAAGCCTCTGGCTGCCCCGTCTGCCACCCACTGCAGTGTGACTGCTGTGTTGGGGAGTGGGTGTCTCCTTCCTCCGTCACCAAGCACTTCCTCCCCGAAACTGTCTGCACCCTGGACGATGATCGGAGAAAACCTGCTCTTCGGGCGGGCAGAGGTGTAGCCACCTCCCTTGCTAGAACCTTCAGACAGGCCCGAGCAGGATGGTTTATCTCGTTGTGGATCACAGGTGTTATATAGAGCGTGGAGTCCCTCAGAATTTTTTCCATTAGAAGTGATTTTTTATTTCTGTGAACTCCTCCGACTCCCCCAGGTGACCTCAGAGGTCTGGCAGCTCGGGCTTCAGGATCTACTGACAGATCTTCAGAGAGACAGAGAGATAAAGAGAGTGTGTGTGTGTGTGTGTGTGTGTGTGTGTGTGTGTGTGTGTGTCTGTGTGTATCCGTGTGTGTGTGTCTGTGTGTGTGTATGTGCGTGTGTGTCTGTGTGTTTGTGTATGTGTCTGTGTGTGTGTCTGTGTGTGTGCGTGTGTGTGTGTGTCTGTCTGTGTCTGTGTGTGTCTGTGTGTGTGTGCGTGCGTGTGTGTCTGTCTGTGTCTGTGTGTGTATGTGTCTGTGTGTTTGTGTATGTGTGTGTGTGTGTGTGTGTGTGTGTGTGTGTGTCTTAATTATAAGTAACCACAGAATCTGCTCCAGTAGAAAAAGGGGAATTCCCTGGTAGACACAGCGAGGCTCATGAAGTCCGAGGGCCAGCGTGCAACCCGGGACACGGAATGCTCCAGAGCACAGACAGGAGGGTCTCTGCAGCTGGCTGTTCTCCGGTCTGGGGTCTGCTCCTGGCCGGCCAGCCTTGGTTGCTTTCCTGTGTACGTGGTAGCAGCAGTCGCCCCTCAGTACCAGAGTCCACCTCACTGCAGATCTAGCTGCAACAGTTCATGGTTTCTGAATACCGATTCCAAATCCCAAATGCCAGGAAGGCAAGAATCTGGCTGCCCAGCTTGAGTGAGATGGCCATCCCAGCTCAACCAACTGCAGCCGGGGACTGGTGGCCAAGCATGCTGGGACCCCCATCTTCATTAGGGGCGCAGAGTCTCAGAGGAAGGGACCGTGGTAAGCTGGGGAGAGGACCCCTCCACAGCAGGATTAACCACATGTGCGAATCTGTCCATGGAGAGTTGGACTCGACAAGCAACAGGCTTTCGAATGAGGGATGACTAGATTTCTCAAAATACAATTCTCAGAGATGAATGTCCATGATAAAGAGAAGCAGAATTATACTTTAGAGGAACAGAATAGACACTGAATAGCTATTTGATTTACAGTCGTCCCCCCCTTATCCACAGGGGATACGTTCTAAGACCCCCAGTGGATGCCTGAAACCATGAATAGTACCAAATCCTACATGTACTATGTTTTTCCTATACATACATACCTGTGATAAAGTTTAGTTTATAAATTAGACACAGTAAAAGATGAACAATAACTAATAATAAAATAGAACAATCATAACAATATACTGAAATAGGACTTCCCTGCTGGTTCAGTGGTTAAGAATCTGCCTGCCAATGCAGGGGACACGGGTTCAAGCCCTGGTCCGGGAAGATCCCACACGCCGTGGAGCAACTAAGCCCATGAGCCACAACTACTGAACCTGCGCTCTACAGCCCGCGAGTCACAACTACTGAGCCTGTGTGCCGCAACTACTGAAGCCCACACGCCTAGAGCTCGTGCTCTGCAAGAAGTGAAGCCACTGCAATGAGAAGCCCGTACACCTCAACGGGAAGAGTAGCCCCCGGTTGCTGCAACTAGAGAAAGCCCGTGTGCAGCAACGAAGACCCAATGCAGCCAAATAAATAAATAAATAAAATAACAATATACTGTAATAGAAGTCATGTGAATGGGTCTCTCTCAAGGTATCTTATTGTACAAACTGAATGCCTTTTCTGTCTTAACTAAGCACTTACCACGTGCTGTGGTCGTAAGTAACTTATGCAGTTTGAGGTGCACCAGCAAAATTAGCAGGGACTCCTTTTTCCTTCTTCACAATGTCACGGATAGATTTGTTCTTACTGTAGATCTTAGCAACCTCAGCATATGATTTTTTTTCTCTCTCTCTTCTCATTACATCCAGAGCTTTCCCCTTTTCACTTAAAGGGAGCACTTTCTTTGGTTGGCATCCGAATTGCCAGCACCAGCGCTCTTGTGCATTGGGGTCATCATTCAGTAAAATAAGGGTGACGAACACAAGCCCGGAAGCATCCCAGCTGTTGATCTGACACCAGTCGGCTCCTAAGTGACCAATAGGCGGCTGCGCCCAACAAAGCGCTGATTCACATCCGGGCGGGATTTAAAACCGCGCGAGATTTCATCATGCTGCTCAGAATGGCGCGCTCTTTAAAAGGTATGAACTTATGAATTTTTTTCTGGAATTCGCTAATTAATATTTTCAGACCGTGGTTGACCGTGGGTAACCGAAACCGCAGAGAGCCAAACCGCAGGTAAGGGGACGGCTGTCCTTGTAAACGGGACAAAGGAGGCCAGGAAACAGACCCTGTTAGATGCTTCTGACTGGTTCTGAGAATAGCTGTATGTGGAGTCCAATATTTAAGGGAAAGAGCCTGTATCTGGATGTTGAGCTCTCGCTCAGTCTCGGAGTACTATTTCCATGTGCATTCTGTCGGGCGAGCTGCTCTCAGGTGCTCCTTTTCAAGCACAGGACGTGAGCAGTTTCCGCAATATCCACCAGATGGTACCTTCCTACCAGAAATTCGGTTTCAGGCTGTGGAACTTCACGTTGCTTTTCCGCCCCGCAGACGAGCTGCAGAAATCAGACGCCTGCCCGGCTGCAGTCAAAACGCAGAAAGCCGGAAAGAATGAATCCCCGGGGGAGTGGGGTAGGCTAGCCTACAATATTTTTATTTCCGAGAATATGGAACAGAAGTCGAGTGTCCTTTTTGTGGTGGGGCAGCGGCTGGCCGAGTGTGGACCAGAGTCATAGAGAAGGCCACGTGTGAGGGGAGGGCTGCGGGGTGAGCCCCCCCAAGAGGACCTGGCTATCCGAGTCCTCCCTCGGTGATGCCTCTGTGATATCCCACCAGTTGCTAAACACCTCGCTGCTGGCGTTTCTCTGACATTATAACCAGTAGCCCTGTTTAAAAAAAAAAATAAAAGCCTTTGTGGGAGAGACTTCTTGTTTGTTCAACACTTTGGATTCTAAGACCTGAGCTGTAATCCCCACCCGCAGCGTTGTTTAGCATTCCTGGACTGGGGAAGGTCATGACGTTTACTGCAGGGTGACGATCGTGTTCTGGTTTGCCTGGTACTTTCCTGCTTTTAGCACTGAGAGCAAAGCAAACCCAGATGGCCGGTCATCCTGGGTGACAGAAATGTACACCCCGGGGACAACACTAGACCTTCACGCACGTTCAGTGAGCTGGGCGGCTGAGTGGGGCAGTGGGATAGTATTTTCAAATTATGAGTCACTTTACTGCTGGTGTTTTCTTAGCAGACCCCCTTTGCCCCGTTTAGCCAGTGAGATGCATGTCAGGAAGTCCAAAGCTCTGCAGAAAAGAGTTCTTTTCTTGGCTTTTGAGTTTCAGAAGTTTAGGCCTAAAAAAAAAAAAAAAAAAAAAAAAGAACCAAGGAGCTAGGGTAAAAATAACTTTATCACATACCATTTAAATCACCTCTAGAAACTCACCCAAGCTCAAATGTATGTTGTCTATGTCACACTTGGCCAAATATTTTCTATTGAAAAATTGATGTCACTACAAAATACGAAAGCATCCTTAAATGTTAAAAAAAAAAAAGTGTAGGCCTTCCCCGATAGACTTGGGAGCGTAGGTAGTAAATAGACACAAGGGTCCCAGGTTGGGGAGAGAGAAGGCAGTGCTGGAGGTGAAAAGAGACGGGGTGCTGGTGGGTCTGAGCCCAGGGAGGCCACGTTGCTCTCATCCACCTTCAGCCAAGTTCCCAGGGAAGGGCTGGGCTTATGGGACCTCGGGGTGAGGACCTGAGCCCCTGGGGGGAACACAGGAAGGGTGGGAGGGTCTCAGAGCAGAGAGGGCTGTCCCCTAGCCCCACAGCAGAGGGCCAGAAAGACCCAGGTGCCTTCGAGAGGCATAGAACCAGCCGGGGAGATCCGTGGGCTGGAGGGCACCTCTCAGAGAGTGCACTGAATTGCATAGTGTCTCTTCCAAATTCACGTCCACCTGGAACCTCAGAATGTGACCTGATTTGGCAGTGGGGTCTTGCTGATATCCTCAAGTTAGGACGAGGTCATACTGGATTAGGGTGGGCCCTAATCCAATAGTTTACTGTCCTTAGAAGTAGAGGAACATTTGGACAAGAGCTGCACACGCAGAGAGAAGACAGCCACACGAAGATGGAGGCAGACATGGAGGGATGCAGCCACAAGCCAGGGAACACCAAGAATTGCTAGTGACCACCAGAAGCGAGGAAGAAGCAGGGAAGGATTCTTTCCTAGAGCCTTTGGAAGGAGCATGGCTCTGCGGACACCTCGATTTCAGATTTCCAGCTTCCAGAACCGGGAGAGGATAAATTTGCGTTATTTAAAGCCACCCAGGTTGGGGTTCTCTGTTTCGGCAGCCCCAGCAAACTCATCCTGCCAGGAGTGGGGATGGTGGACGAGCAGTCAGCGTGGGTCACACGTGAGGGGCAGGTGGAGTGAGAGAGGCCCCTGTACACGCCAGCACTGAGGCCTGGGTGGGCCCGACTTGGCCCAGAACGTTTGCAGCCAGAGTCCTGAACTATAGGACATGATGTTTCCCACATCACGGAGAATGAGGCTTGCAACAGAAATTGAATAAGAAAAAAGCAGAACTTACTTTAAAACTTTTTTTTTTTTTTTTTTTACTGCTTGTGTTTGTAAACTAAAATGTAATACCGATTGCACACCCATTCTCTTATTTAAGTGTCTGAAAAGTAAGGCCCATTATCCACATTTGATAGTCAAGGAGCTGAGCTTAGAGCGTCAACTGAGACTGCCGAGGGGTCTGTTGTGGCCCTGGGGTTCAGGCCCACCTCTGCCTGTCTGCCGAGCCTTCCTGCCTTTCCTTATCATTTCCCTGTTTTCCTGCTACTTGCCTGATATTTTGACCAAACTGAACCGGACCCTGTGCCCTACACACAACCCCGTACTTTCTGCTCGAGCCCTCGGATCAGGCTGTATCTTTGTTGAATAGGTCCTTCCTTTCTTGTTTCCTGTCAAAACCCTACCCTTCATTCCAGGCCCAGATCATGAAGCTTTTCCAAGTCTCCCAAACCAGCTGTCATCTCGTTTCAATTCTGGCAATCGTTTTGGGGCATCTTTGCAGGCAGCCTCCCTGCATTTCATATTCCTTTGTGTGCCTATGGTGCCCATGGCAGGTCTCAGCGCAGACCTACCGATTTGTTGGGTGCAATCATTGCTAAAAGTAGTGCAGTACCGTATTCCACGTGCACTGTGGCCAGTACCTCTTGGCGTGAGTCTGAAGCAGGCCTTTATGATTTGGGAAGTCACCTCTTGCCCTGGCTGCGCTGATCCTGTGGATGGAAGGCTCTCTGTTATCAGGAACAGGATATCGTAGGCACTTACGGGTTTGACCTGTGACTTTCCAGAAAGGTGAGTGAAGAAGAATGAGCATTTGGGACCTTCTGTCTGAGAACCTGGTCCACTTGCTCTGGGGGTAGCCCTTCTGGCCTCCCTGATAAAGCAGATTGGGATCGTCAAGCCCCTTTTTCAGCGCCTCACTGACTGGGTTTCATCTCACAGCTTCCTCTGCTGATGCCTGAACTCCTTGAACTGGCTGCACTCATCTGCGTTCCGGAATCAGATCAGAAGGCCGGTTTTTCTGGGCGAGGAAAGGAGTGATTTAAATGTTCCCTGAGCTGCTGATGGCAGATTCTTTCCTGAGAATGGGTTTCAACTAGGAGGTGGAGGTTGGGCAGGGAGAGAGCAGAGGGCCCTGAGCTGACCCGCTGACCAGGGCCTGCTGGGCAGGAAGGAAGCAGCAATGGGCGGTGGGAAAGAAGGCTGGGGACCCAAAGGTGAGCTTTATTTCTACTCCCTTTTTTGTCCTGGGCCCTGTCTGATTCTACGCGAATGGATCTTTGACTTTTGATTTCAGAAACCCAAAAAGTAATTTTCTAAAATCATTTGTGAACACCAGAAAGTTGCCATTATTTATTGGATTAAATAGGAATGTTAACAATAAAAAATAACCCTCTGCCACATATAGTTGCCATCATTTCATAAAAGAAAGGTTTTAATGATAAAACATGTACTGGGAAAGACAATCTCAGAACAAAGCGTATTCCTTTAAATTGGATAAATAGTTTTATAGGCAAAAAAATGATTACCTCTCTCTGTCTCCCTTTGCTGTGGGCCCAGGAAACTGTTGGCAGAGGCTGGCATCCTGGCACCAACTGTTTTTTGAGAATCACATCCACCCCGGTTCTGAAACCCAACCAGTTTGTAGTTCAAGACACCATGCCTCCCCCTGGTGGCCAAAAGGAGCAGCTGTAGCAGCTAAAGGGCTCTCACAATATATTTAGGGCCGTGTCCTGTTGATTGTGTTCTTATACTTATTTCACCCACCATGCACTAAGGGTGGGGCTACGTAGGGTAGGGCCACATGAAGATGAAGAGAGCCAGGCCCCTACTATCAAGGAGATTTTCCATGACACTGACGTTTCAGACAAAAGTTAGCGAAAATGTTTGGATTTGTGTGTCGAAACATCAACTCCCCAGCAAGGTGGTTTTACTTCATCTCTGGGTCCAGAGGCCCAGGGTAGTCACAGACACCTCTGTGGTGGCATGCAATCGATCTGTCAGCATCCGAGCAGTCCTGTGAACTAGGGCCCATTGGCCACCTGGTGCTTTATCTCCATCTCTGCCCGGAAGCCTAGGCCCACAGGTGCTGAAGAAGCTGGAAGGAAACAGCACAGACAAAAGTGGCCGTGCTGTTTCCCACAGGACATTCCTGCTCCCACCTCCTCGGTGTCTAAATCCTGCTTATCAGGCCATCCCCAGGTCAGGCAAGCCTACCTTTCCCACGAAGTCCTTCCATGCCTCCTCCAAACCCACAGTGACTCCTGTGCCCTCAGGACTACTCACTACCATCATTTTCTCTTATTTTATTTTTCAAGTAGGCAGGAGATTTCTTGATGGCTGAGGCTGTGTTTTATCAGTTTTCTCTCCATCTCTGCTTCTCAAATGACATCCCAGAGCTTTCAATTTTCTCTTTTGTTATGCAGAGGAGCTGCCGACTTCCTTTCAAATATTAGAGCTGCACTTAAGCCTAATCAAAATATTTTGTCATCAAAAATGAGAAATTAAGTCAATTTAGGCCATTTGGCTGTAACCAAAAAATCCCCAAGTCTCTATGGCTTAAATTAAGTTTTTTCTTCCTAATTCTACATGGCCCATATAGGTCACTTGGGGGTAGGGTTACCTGAATTAACAAAGAAAAATACCCAGTTAAATTTGAATTTCAAATGATCAATCTCTTTTTGTTTAGTATGTCTCCAAAAATGCATACTAAAAGTTATTATTTTAATTATTTGAAATTCAAATTGAACTGTACATCCTGTATTTTATCTGGCAACTCCACTTGGGGGTTACCTGTTGAGGTTCTTCTGTTGCCCTGGTGATATCTCAGTCTTGGCTTCCTTATTACATGAGGAAGACGTTGGCAGGACATTGGGAAGGATGAGAGGATGGAAAGGGTGGTACCCACAGCTCATTCTAGAAAGCAGAACTGAGGTTCAGGTATTGAGTAGATTAAAGATGGCTGCAGATTCTTTGCTATTCATCCCCTTGAATGTAGAGCAGCCTTAGTGGTCCAACAGAACCACTAGACCAATAGAATGTGGCCGAAGTGACACTGTATAACTTCCAGGGCTTGGTTAGAAGAAGGCTTGAAGTTCCCACCTTGGTCTCTTGGAACACTACCTCAAAGCCCCAGCTTACTTTGTAAGAAGTCTGACTACCTTGAGGCCACCATGTTGGCATAGTTACGTGTAGCTGCTCCAGTTGACAGTCCAGCTGAGCCCAGCCTTTCAGCCATTCACACCAAGGCCCCCCAACTATGAGTGAAGCTGTCTTGGATCCTCCAGTTCAGCCTAAGTATCACACCGTCTAAGTATCACAGCCTGATCTCAGTTGATGCTATGTGGAACTGAAACATCCCCCAGCTAAACTTGGCCTGAATTCCTGACCCATAAAATCACAACATATAATATGGAAATTGTCTTAAAGCCACTAAGATAGTGAAACAGATAATGTACACTTAACACTCACTCCCAGGTGCCTGATTTCCTTTTCTCTTTACCCAGATCCTTCATACTGCATGCCCGGATGCTATACCAGATTTCACCAGTGAGGAGGTGTGATTAGCCTGGGGTCTCCACCTTCAACAGAGATGCTCCAGATAAACTCTTCTTTCAAGCAGAGTTTGAGCTACACCGCAGGTACAAGTTTCTTGTCAGCTTAAATCCAACAAGTAATCAGTCCAGTGTTGAGTGAGCATCTCCATGGGGAGGGAACTGCTGGATGGTGATGGAAGAGGACCCTCACCTTATATATCGTGTGAAACAGCTCACTGTGGTTTAACAAGTGCACTCATATGCTTAATTAATTTGTTTCTTACCATTAGCTTATGAAGCAAATATTATTTTATTACACAGACAAGTAAATCAAAACCAGGTCACACAAGCAGTAAGTGCCGGAGATGGGATTTGAACTTAGGCTTATCCACCAATTATTTTCCACAGTGTGAAAGCCTTAAAAGACAGATGCAAACCTTCATTTTACAAATGAGAAGATTGAGGACCAGTAAGAAGATAATATCACTGCTGTGCTTTATTACTAACCATGAATCTCTGGCTGGGAACACTCCAATCTGGCCCTAAAGGCTCTCTGGAGTGTAGACCAAAGCTGTGTTGAGTGAGTGTCTTCAGAACTGTTGCTTTAGGGGGGATAATGGAGGAGATGGTATCCGCGCCGCCCTTTCTTGTATGTTCCCAGGGAACACGAGCCCTTGGTCGTTCTGTTTAGCTCCCGGCTGGGGTGTGTGGGAGCTATCACTTGGCTCATGAACAGTTCATGGGTCCAAAGTGCTGGAGTGGTAGCGTGAGCTCTTCTCTGGAGAGAACATCCTCCCATGAAACCATCCATCCCTGTGGTCCAGGATGGGTCACAGAGACAGTTTCATCTTTGCTCCAGAGCATGGAAATGTAGAGGGACAGTGAATTGGTGGGACTGTTTGGGGATCGTAAGTCACTCAAAAGACCATCCCTGGCTTGTTCTGGATGTCTCGGTCTGCCAGGGTGGCCATATCCAAGTCAGCATCCATCAGCAGCTGGGGACACAAACTGTGTACAAATAAAGAGGGATCCTGTGTGACTTGGACAGGAAGTCCAAGTGGAGTCAGGCACTCTAAGTTGAAGTCTCTCTGGAGATTAAGTATTTATGAAGCGCTTTGTACCCGCAAAGTGAATTTCAATCATTTATCATCTAAAAACACAGTATCACTGTAACATACAAATATTTGTGTCATGGCTGATGACTCAAACTTGAACTCCTGCCTGTAAAAAGGGGGACATTGTCATGCACTTGGGATCTATTTTTAATGCTATTGTGAAGGAAGATCAGGAATTTTAGAAACAAATATACGAGTCTTGATCCAGACCCATCATTACCATGCAAACCTGCAATTCCCTTGTGTGTCACTTCTGAAAACTCTGGCTCTCCTGTGGGCAGGCAGCAGTAAAAGGTGGATCCTTCTAGATGAATCTCCAGTAACTCTTTCCTCTGTATTCCACAACAAGGTGATTTGCCTTTGTGTAGCCCTTTGTGTTCGAGATGACCAGATGACTGGGATGATGGTGATTTTGAATATGTGTGTGGCTGAGAAGACCACACCAATTAGTTTTCATCTAGAGATTAAGGTGGACACTGCTTTGCCTTGTGGCAGTTGAAGCTGTTTGCAAAACCAGGGGCTGATTGTGGCTCTTTCTGAGATTACCAAGAAGACTCCAAGAAGCTGTGGCTACATTTTTTTTTTTTTTTCCCTCTGACTGTTCAAATGATCCCATTTACAAAAGACTTTTCTCCTTAATCTAGCTAATCTCTCTAATTGTCTAAAACCCTACTTTGCTTTTTAGTTATAATTATTGACCATAGGGTCTAAAAGGAATTTTATAGACCATCGGGTTCAGCCCTCTTATTTTACTCATGAAGAAACTGAGAATTGAAAAGGTTGAAAGGAAGACGAGAATCCAAGTTTTCCAAGTCTTCCTTCCACTCTGTATTTCAGAATCTTGTGCTGTTGGATGTAATTAAATGTGTTCCCCTAGCTCCACTGAATGGTTTTTACCTTGGACTTTTCTACATTCCACAGCGTGCCTTGTATAGGGTTCATCCATAGCACAGCCAATTGGCAGTTGACTGGTAATGGCTGCCAGGAGACCTGTGTTGAGGAGTCAGTCAGGCTGGCCCTCTGTCACTGATCAAGTTTCTCTCCAAATGTGACCTCTACCAAGAGGACTTGACCACCCCAGCTAAAGTACCTTTCCTCCTCCCTCTTCTCAGCCACTCCATCTCCTTTCCTTGCTTAATTGTCTTCCTCTCGCCTCTCATTATCTGAAATACCCTTTCTTGTGTATTGCCTTCTTCTCCCAGTAGAATATAAGCTCCAGTAGGGCAGGGACTATGTTTACCTTGTTCACTGCAGTGTCTGCTGTGCCAGTTAGAGTGCTGACATGTAGGAAACACCCAGTAAATATCTGTGGAAGGGATGGCCAAGTGCCGTAATTGATTAGTGATGTCTGCCACAGGCAGTAGATGTCAGTGCTAAGTTTTTGTCATCACAGGATTGGTTGTTAATAGCCAACCAATTCTGGATGCAAAACTGGTTTCCTGGGCTTCCCTGGTGGCGCAGTGGTTGAGAATCTGCCTGCCAATGCAGGGGACACAGATTCGAGCCCTGGTCTGGGAAGATCCTATGTGCACAGAGCAACTAGGCCCGTGAGCCACAACTACTGTGCCTGCATGTCTGGAGCCTGTGCTCCGCAACAAGAAAGGCCGCAATAGTGAGAGGCCCGGGCCTCCGCTTGCTGCAACTAGAGAAAGCCCTCGCACAGAAATGAAGACCCAGCACAGCCAAAAATAAATTAATTAATTAATTAAAAAAAAAAACAAAACTGGTTTCCTTCTGACATTCAGCTTGATTCTAGTCCATCTCCTGATGACCAGTTATTAGGTACTCTGGAAATAGGAATTTATCTTAATCACTAATTAAGAATTTAAAAGGAGAAGGCACATTTTCTGCTGTTATCCCCTTTTCTCAAAAGTATAATAGTGTCATATTCATCATGGAGCATCTATGACGTAGCACAATTCCTCACACAATAAATATTCGCTTACCGTTGTGTTTTTTCAATGTCATGTTTTTTAGTGAGTTTTTTTTTTTTTAATTTATTCATGGCTGTGTTGGGTCTTCGTTGCTGCACGCGGGCTTTCTCTAGTTGCCGCGAGCGGGGGCTACTCTTCCTTGCGGTGCACGGGCTTCTCATTGCAGTGGCTTCTCTTGTCGTGGAGCATGGGCTCTAGGCAGGCAGGCTTCAGTAGTTGTGGCATCCGGGTTCAGTAGTTGTGGCTCGTGGGCTCTAGAGCGCAGGCTTAGTAGTTGTGGCGCATGGGCTTTGTTGCTCCGTGGCATGTGAGATCTTCCCGGACCAGTGCTCGAAGCCATGTCCCCTGCATTGGCAGGCAGATTCTTAACCACTGTGCCACCAGGGAAGCCCTTCAATGTCATTTTGAAGGGATTCCCAACTTTCCTGCTGATCTAGAATAGCTGCACCAGAGACACACTACATAGTACACAGTACACAGTGCACATTGGTGTGACTGATTGAGACCCAGGTGTGTAAAGCCATGAGCAAAGTTCAGGTAAATATCCAAATTAAACTGTCCTAAAGTAGGGTGAGCAGCATTCATTACCTTATCACTGAGTTCTGGCTTTTCTCATCCATCCCCTTCTGGAAGTCAGTATCTGAAATTGGCTAGTGTGAGGAAGGAGAGATTTGAGAAAAATAAAAGACCAAAGAGAGAGTTAGTGCTTAAATATATTTGGAATTCATCTTTGTTTCTTTTAATCTCTTTTTAAAGAATGGTGGTAAATATGGAAACATTTATAGCAGGTAGAGGTTTTTGGAAGTTGTCTCCTTTTTAACCCAATCCATACCGTTGTTTCATGTGAAAAACAAGATAGGAAGCAGTGCCCTGGTAAATCTGATTTAATATTTCCTAGGACTCTGGGGTTGTATACCATATACTCTCCTAAATCTGATGGCGTCAGTATGACCTGACATTTAATTAATTGCATAGACTATTTAAAATTAAAATAGCAACAGGCTCAGAGTTCTTTTCAAGCTTTAATACACTCTCCTTTTAAAAATATATTTTTCATAAATTACTCTGCTGTCTGGCAGGCCATCACATTCTTCAGTTTCTGTAATAAAAGGGGAATGGTGCTATGGGGGTGGGGAATGGTGCTATGGGGGCGTGAAATGTGAAACACAGAGGAGAACACCTTGGTTGAACATGAGCGGACAGTAATCAAGTCCGTTAATCAAAGTGCCTCTTAAATCTCTGCGAGTTGAAAACTGTAGCATCCAGGGATAGATTAAAGAGGAAATATAAATTGGCAGAAGAGCTTGCCTGGGCAGGTCCCATCTCAGAGTCTCTGATTAACAGAGTGTTGCTTTCAGTGGGATTTGTTTTCCCTGGGTTATCTTTTGAAGTTTATTTTATAAAAAACAGTGGGTCTGAACTGCAGTGTCTCCTTCTCACGGCTGTGGAAAAATCACCAAATCAAATTGTAGAGAATCTTGCAAAGCTGTTCCGGCCAACATCTCACATCTTTCCAACATCAGATTACCCTGACTCTCCTGACGCCCATGTAACACAAATAACTCCTGTAGCCTTTTTATTCCCTCAATTCCAGTGTTCCATATCCAAGGCCACAAGGATTCCTCAGTACTTCTGAAGGGTATTTTAATCTTAGTGGTCATTGGTGCCATTTAGTCGTTCTTTGGTTTGCTCATTATTTTATTCATCAACTCATTCAAAAATATTTCTTGATCATTTATGTCTAAGCCCAAAATCGCATGTGAGAAGAAAGGCGAAAAGACCCCATGACTATTTTCTGGGTGCTCGCAATACAGTGGCGAGAGAGGTCAGCATTTAGTACAAAATACGGCAGGGTCTGGCTACCCTGAGGCTCTCCGAGGTACAACGGGGAGCAAGTAGAAAGGAGCCCGGAAATCTCGGCGGGTTGCGCAGGGGAGGGTTCCCAGGGAAGTTCTCAGGTAGGAGAGGAGCTGGGACGTTGGGAACAGGAAGCAAGGTGTGAGTAAACGCGTGTGCAAGGGAGTGGAGGTGACAGAACGTGGCTTGCTCAGAAACA